TTTTTTTTTTAAAGATTTATTTTCTTTATTTGAAAGAGTTACAGAGAGTGGTAGAGTCAGAGAGAGAGAGAGAGTGAGAGAGATCTTCCATCTGCCTGTTCACTCCCCAAATGGCCGCAATGGCTGGAGCTGTGCTGATCCGAAGCCAGGAGTCAGGAGCTTCTTCTGGGTCTCCCAAGTGGGTGCAGGGGCCCAAGGACTTGGACCATCTTCTACTGCTTTCCCAGGCCATATCAGAGAGCTGGATTGGAAGTGGAGCAGCTGGGACTTGAACCAGTGCCCATATGGGATGCAAGCACCAAAGGCCGGGGCTTTAACTTGCTGTGCCACAGTGCCAGCCCCTACTTTTCATTTCTATAGATTTGCCTATTTTGGATATTTTTTAGGAATTAAATCCTATTATATAGTCTTTTGTGACTGACTTCTTTCACTTAGTGTGAATATTTTTAAGGTTCTTTCATGTGGTAACATATATCAGTAATTCTTTGCTTCTCATTGCTGATTATATGGATGTCCATTTTATTTATCCATTCACCAGCTGATTGACATTTGGAGTATTTCTACTTCTTTGTGTATTATGAATAATGCTAAATGCTAATGTGAACATTTGTGTCCCAAGTTTTTAGGTGGGCATATGTTTTCATTTCTCATAGTTATATACCTAGTAGACATGGGGATATTACAGCCAGAGACATCCTATTACCTGTTAAGGAACTGCCAAAGTAGCTGTACCATTTTACATTCCCATCAGCAGTGTAGGAGGATTCTTGTTTCTCTATGTCTTCATCAACATTTACTATAGTCTGTCTTTTTGATAATAGCCATCCTCATGGTTTTGAAATGGCATATCATTATGATTTTAATTTTGATTTCCCTAATGGCTACTGATGCTGTCTTTCCATGTTCTTGATCATCATTAGTGTGTGTGTGTGTATTTAAAGATTTATTTTATTTATTTGAAAGACAGAGTTACAGAGAGAGGTACAGACAGAGAGAGAGGTCTTCCATCTGATGGTTCACTCCCCAACTGGCTGCAACAGCCGGAACTGCGCTGATCCGAAGCCAGGAGCCAGGAGCTTCTTCCAGGTCTCCACATGGGTGCAGGGGCCCAAGGACTTGGGCCATCTCTGCTGCTTTCCCAGGCCACAGCAGAGAGCTGGATCAGAAGTGGAGCAGCAGGGACTGGAACCAGTGCCCATATGAGATGCCGGTGCTTCAGGCCAGGGCTTTAACCCACTGCGCCACAGCGCCGGCCCCTAGTATATATTTTTGAGAAGTCTCTATTTAAAAGTGTTTCCATTTTTTAGTTGGGTTCTTTTTATTATTGAATTGTAAAAATTCTTTATATGTCCTATATATAAGTCCTCTATCAGATACATGATTTACAAATGATTTCTGTGGAGTGTTTTTTCACTTTCTTCATGGTATCCTTGAAGCTCAAATTTTTAAAAATTTGAATAGCAATTTACCTGCTTATTTCTTTTGTTGCTTGTGATTTTAGTGTCATAATAATTAAGAAACAATTGCAGGGCCAGCCCTTTGGCATGGTGGGTAAAGCCACTGCCTGCAATGCTGACATCCCATATGGACGCCAGTTGGAATCCCAGCTGCTCCACTTCCAGTCCAGCTCTCTGCTATGGCCTGGGAAGGCAGCAGAAGATGGCCCAAGTCCTTTGGCCCCTGCACCCACGTGGGAGACCCGAAAGAGGCTCCTGGCTTCTGATTGGCACAACTCTGGCCGTTGCGGCCATCTGGGGAATGAACTAGTGGATAGAGGACCCATCCCCCCCCCCCCCCCCCCCGTCTTTCTCTCTCTCTCTGCCTCTGACTCTCTGTTACTCTGCCTTTCAAATAAATAAATAAATATTTTTTAAAAATTGCCTGATCTAAAACCTGTACTGCTCTCTTCACTAAGTATGTGTTCTCTTTTCTATGCGTAAATGATCAAAGAGCTCCCATGAGGTCAAATTAATTTTAAAAATTGTCTTTCCCTGTTTTTCTGTTAAACAGCTTCCTGCTAGAGAAATGTGGTGATTAAAAGTGAGAACTCTTTTTGAGTCAGACTGAGTTTGAATGTTGGCATTACTTCCTGATGACTGCATCCTTGGAGAAATGATAACTTTTTTAAAAAATTTATTTATTTGAAAGGCAGAGTTATGGAGAGGGATAGGCAAAAGCAGCGAGAGAGCTTTGATCTGCTGGCTCACTCTCCAAATGGCCGCAACAGCCAGGACTGGGCCAGTCCGAAGCCAGGAGCTTCTTCCAGTTCTCCCACATGGGTGCAGGGGCCCAAGCACTTGGGCTAGCTTCTGCTACTTTCTCAGGTGCATTAGTAGGGAGCTGGATTGGAAGTGGAGCAACCTGGGCTCAAACAGGTGCCTGTATGGAATGCCAGCACAGCAGGTTGTGGCTTAACCCGTCTCCATAGCACTGGCTCCAGGGACAACATTTTTAAGCCTTGGTTCCTCATCTTTTTTTTTTTTTTTCTTTTTTAAAATTTATTTGAAAGAAAGAGGAGAGGCAGAGAGAGAGAGAGAGAGAGAGGTCTTCTATCCGATGGTTCACTCCCCAATTGGCCGCAGCTACGCCGATCTGAAGCCAGGAGCTTCTTCCAGGTCTCACACGTGGGTGCAGGGGTCCAAGGATTTGGGCTGTGTTCTACTGCTTTCCCAGGTCACAGCAGAGAGCTGGATTGGAAATGGAGCAGCCAGGTCTCGAACTGGGGCCCATATGGGATGCCGAGCTTCAGGCCAGGGCATTAACCGCTGCGCCACAGCACCGGCCCCAGTTTCTTCATCTTTAAAATGGGAATGATACTCTTTACCTCAAAGATTGTGTTAAGGATTTAAGTTTAATAAATACCTGTTCATTTTAATTGGTTTGTAAATAGTAGACAATTACATTAAATAAGAGCTAGGATGTGTCTGAACATACTATGGAGCTTTTTTTTTTAACAAAACGAGGAAAAGAAAAAAACAAAAAAAATCACTTATTTCATTGTTTGAGCTTGGGTTACCCTTCTGAGAAAGGAAGATGGCAAAATTGTGTTTCCAAAAATCTTCCAAAGGGGAAGAGTGCCAAATATACAGAAAATTAGTTTAGAGAGAAAAGGTAAAGACTAAATTCTCAAATGTTGGTAGGTGGTATAGACAGTTTGGAAGAGATGCCAAAGAGAAAGATTCTCCAGGGGTCATTATCTTATCAGGAGCAGTAGACTGATTTAGCGTGGCAGTTCTCTGAACAATTTGAGATTTGTTCTTGACTAACACAAGAGTCCTTTGTCGAAAGGCATCTTTTTATCACTTGATGAGACTGTCATTAGTCCACCTCGCCCTTATAAAGTAGACATGATTAGAGGCTTCAAAACTCTTTAAGACCTTTTACTGTAGATTTCTGAATTTAAAACTTTCCTGGTATTTTTTGTATTTGTTTATCTAATAATGTAAGCAAAATTACTAAAATATACTTTCTCTGAACAATATCTAGTCTCCCACTCTAGACTATAATCTTAATAAAAATAAATGAGCCATATATTTAAGTTATTTCAGCAGTGTAAATGATTAATTTATAAGAAATATTTGTAGGATATATGAAAGTATGGCTGGATGAAAAATAAATGGTTTTATAAATTAGTTTTCTTCATTCTGTTTTCTCTTTCCTGCAGTTTTTCTCTAAATTTTACTAATCCTTCCAAACCTTATTTGAATGTCACTCTGCGTATACAATTGTTGTATGCAACTGAGTTGTTGATATTTGAGTTGTTGATATTCAAGCCATTTTTCTTGCTGTAATATAAAATCTTAGAAGGCTGGATCTGGATCTTATTTATCTTTGTAGCTCCCATAACTCACTGCATAAAGTTAATATTTAAACACAAGTATATTAAATGAATAATTTAATAATATATATTCTGGTGGGAATTTGGGGTTTGGGATATTTAAGGAGATGTTAGTGTTAAATATGACAAACAGCCTCTTTGCAGGTTTTCACTGGTATTACTAAAACTTTATTGACTGGATGAAATCTCCTGTGATGGCTTATGTCTCCAAATGGACAAATGCTTAGCAGCCCTCCGTTCTACCCCATTTCTTTTTCTCCTCTTTTTGCTGTTTCCTTACCTTCTCGCAGCTCTGTTTATCTTTTCATGCTGACTCATGCACTCTGCTTTTTATTACTTTTGCCTCTTGCCCCTTCTTGCAATTCCTAAGGCTTCTTACAACTTTGTTTCCTTGTCACCTGCCCTTTCTATTTTTGTTCTTTGTTTGCTTGGCTTTCTCCTCCTCTTGTCCCCACCTCTCTCCTTGCCCTCAAGGTACAGAGTAGAATTAGGTAGGGAGGAGCCCAGCTGGCCTAGGGGTGGAGCCTAAGCCACTGCTTAGAGATTCAGATCCTGACAGAGAAGGGTCAGCCGCTTCAGGGTAGTTGGAACTAAGATTCCTATGGCCTTCTCGCTGGAGGTTCACGTTCTAGAGGACAACTGGGACTTGGTAAGGTCAGAAGCTGTCCCCCTTTTCTTTTTTGCTCCCCATTTCTTCTTTCCTGTTCTGTATTTTTTACTCAGTCTCTCCATACTAAGTTTTCTTCTGTTTTGCTCTCATTTGCTGTTCCAGTTTTTGTCTATTTTTCTAGCTCTGTCAGTCAACTTTATTTAATATTTTTGTGCCTCTCTTGTTACCCATTCCTTACATCTGTCTATTCACTCTCAAAATTTTCCTGCCTCTTTTCCATTTTATTCTTCCTTTTATTAGTTTTCTCATTCACTTCTCTTTTTTCATTCAGTCATTTTCTTTCTATACCTTTAGTGAGGTTAAAAGGAGTACCCTGCTTTTATGAGAGAGAGAGTCTGTTTAGCCTTTTCACTCATTCTCAGACTTGGTAATGTTTTGATTAGGCCTTGGATACAATTTTGTGCTGCAGAGATAGTTAATAAATAGTGAACTTAGAGTAGGTTGAATATTAAATGTAAAAGGTTTAATTTCTCTCTTCCTTGTTTTACTTAGGTTTTTTCTGCAATACAATGGATACAGTTTGTCATGGCTACTCTGAGGTATGTTTATTTGATTTCATATATGAACTTAGTATTAAAAAGCCTGGAGAATTCTGCAGTTTTTTTTTTTCAGTCTTCCCCTGGGCATTTGCTTTTGTTCTTTAAGTTACAGAGAAATATATTAAACATGTTGGTAGAACATTAGCAACAATAACATCAAGAAAAAAGAAGATTGAGGAATGATATCTGAAAATCAGCAGATGACCTGATTAACAGGATTGATTGCAAAATCAATGGCAAAGGGTTCGCTTTGGCAGCACAAAGAAGTTTAATATGGTCCCTCCACAGGATGACATGCAGATTTGTGAAACATTCCTTTTTTTAATGTTTGATTTCATTTACTTGAAAGGGAGAGAGAGAACTTCTATTTGTTGGTTTACTCCCCAGGTGCCCTAAATAGCCAGGTCTGAATCAGGCTGAAACCAGGAGTCCAGAATTCAGTCCGGGAGCTAACACTGTGGTGTAGCAGGTTAAGCCTCTGCCTGAAGTGTTGGCATCCCATTTGGGTATATGGGTGCCAATTTGTGTCCCAGCTGCTCCTCTTCTGATTCAGCTCTCTGTTGATGGCCTTAGAAAGCGGTGGAAGATGGCCTAAATGCTTGGGTCCCTGTACCCATGTAGGAGACCTGGAAGAAACTGCTAGCTGCTGGCTTTGGATCGGCCCAGCTCTGGCAATTGCGGCCATTTGGGGAGTGAACCAGTGGATGGAAGACCTCTCTCTGTTTCACCCTCTGTCAGTAACTCTGCCTCTCATATAAATAAATAAATCTTTTTTAAAAAAATAGAATTCAATCCGATTCTCCCCTGTGGGTAGCAGAGCATTTGAGCCATCACCTGATTCCTCTCAGAATTCATTAGCACGAGGCTAGATCAGAAATGGAATAGTCAGGACTTAAATTGGTACAATATGGGATGTGGGAATCTCAAGTGGCCTCTTAATCCTTTGTGCTTGGATATAATCCACATTTTTTAAAAAGCACAGTTTATTTTACATTAGTTACAAATTTTAAAAACTTGGCAAAAATGAAAGAACCTCATTGTCCTATTTTAATGACCATCTTCTATCTCTTCCAGCATTATAGGTTCAAGTTCACTTATTGCTTATTCTGTATTCCAGAATATACAGAAATCTGCAGAGGTGAGCACTCTCTTTATGTTGGATCTGAACTTGTAGTGACTTAGCCTTTGAACTAAGGAACAGATAGTTGGAATGATGGGATAATTGTATGAATTACTTACAAATTTGTCATTTTAATAGACTGAGATATCTTAGGCGCTATTATAGAACTCCTTTTTATTTTAGGTAATTATTTTAACTATAGCTTTGAATTCTGAGAGATTACTACATGTGGATTTATTTGATATGCATCAATTATTAAGGTTAAGGAAACAGTATTTTTTAAAATATATTGCTTTGTTTTTTAAGATTTGTTTATTTAAAAGAGTTACAGAGAGGCAGAGAGAGAGGGAGGGAGAGAGAGAGAGGGAGAGAGGTCTTCCATCCACTAGTTCACTCCCCAAATGGCCGCTGATCCGAAGCCAGGATCCAGGAGCTTCTTCCAGGTCTCCCACGTGGGTGCAAGGGCCCAAGGACTTGAGCCATCCTCTGCTGCTTTCCCAGGTGCATTAGCAGAGAGCTGCATAGGAAGTGGAGCAGCCGGGACTCACACTGGCATCCATATGGAATGCCAGCAAGCACTGTAGGTGGCGGCTTTACCCGCAACACCACAGCACCAGCCCTGGAAACAGTATTTTCTGAAGTCTGTTCACTCTAAGCATGGGAGAATTCTGCCTATAGATGAGATTTCCTTTTTCTTTTTTCCTTTTATTTTTTTGAAAGGCAGAGTTATAGAGAGAGGGAGAGAAAGAGAGAGAGAGATCTTCCACTCACTGGTTCACTCCCCAAATGGCTGCCATGGATGGGGCTAGTCCAGGCTAGAGCCAGGACCCTGGAATTCTATCTAGGTTTCTCATGTGGGTGCAGGGCCCCAAGTTCTTGGCCATTTTCACTGTTTTCCCAAGCACATTAATAGGGAGCTGCATCAGATGGAAGACTTCTCCTTCTCTCTGTGTAACTCTGACTTTCAAACAAATAAATACATCTTAAAAAAAAAGAAGAAGAAGAAGTAGAACAGCTGGAACTTGAACTGGCACTCACAAGGAGTGCCAGCAAGTTTTCCGATTTTGATACCTTAGGAAAATTGCTGGTGAAACTAGGAGATAGTTCAAAGACTTTGCAATATGAAAGATATTTGTTTTGCTGCTCTGGCCTTCAAGGCAATTACAATTTAACGGTTGAAAAAAAAAAAAACCAAAATACAACCTTTGTAAAACTATTTATAGGGGCTGGCGCTGTGGTGTAGTAGGTTAAGCCTCCTCCTGCAGCACCAGCATCCCATGTGGGCACTGGTTCACGTTCTGGCTACTCTCTTCTGATCCAGCTCTCTGGTATGGCCTGGGAAAGCAGTAGAAGATGGCTCAAGTGCTCGGGCCCTTGAACCCACATGGGAGACCCAAAAAAGCTCCTGGTTTCCGATCGTCCCAGCTCTGGCCATTGTGGATATTTAGGGAGTGAACCATCTGATTGAAGACCTTTTTCTCTATTCTCTCTCTCTCTCTCTCTCTCTCTCTCTGCCTTTCAAATAAATAAATGAAATCTTAAAAAAAACCTATTTATACTAAAAAGATTAAGTTAAGGGGTCCAGCGTTGTGGCACAGTGGGGTAAGCTGCCAACTGCAATGCTGGCATTCCTATATGGACTCCTGTTCAAGTCCCAGCTGCTCCACTTCAGATCCAGCTAAAATGCCTAGGATAGCATCAGAAGATGGCCTGACTGCTTGGAACCCTGTCACCCATGTGAGAGACTTGGATAGGGTTCCTGACTCCTGGCTTCCACTTGGTCTAGCCCTGGTTGTCATATCCATTTGGGGAGTGAAACAGTGGATGGAAAATCTGTCTCTCCCTCTCCCTCTAACTCTGCTTTTCAAATAAATAAATAAAACTTTAAAAAAAAAAAGAGACCAAGTTAAAAGAATGCATGACTCTTAGAGTATATTAAAATATTTACATTTGCTAATTCAGTAAAAATTTTAAGAGAAATGTAACAACTATTTAACCAGGCCAAATAACACAAAACTAGGTAAAACATAGTTTAGGACATGTATGGGAGAGCTTCTGTACATGGAAAGTGCCACTGGGTGTTGTTGGGCTCATTTTAATAATAAAAGAAGCCCCAGCCAGCGCTGCGGCTCACTAGGCTAATGCGGCGCCGCTGCGCCGGCACACCGGGTTCTAGTCCCGGTCGGGGCGCCGGATTCTGTCCCGGTTGCCCCTCTTCCAGGCCAACTCTCTGCTGTGGCCCGGGAGTGCAGTGGAGGATGGCCCAAGTGCTTGGGCCCTGCACCCACATGGGAGACCAGGAGAGGCACCTGGCTCCTGCCATCGGATCAGCGCGGTGCGCCAGCTGTAGCGAGCTGGCTGCTGCGGCCATTGGAGGGTGAACCAATGGCAAAGGAAGACCTTTCTCTCTGTCTCTCTCTCTCACTGTCTACTCTGCCTGTCAAAAAATAAAAAAAATAAAAAAATAATAATAAAAGAAGCCCCTATCTATGGAATATTTACTATGTTCCAGCTATGCTGAGGGCTTTACATACATTATCTCTTGTTGGTCCTCATCAGTTTCCTATCATAAGGATGGCCTCTTTCACAGATGAGAGAGCTGAAGCTTACATTCAGAAAATAACTCATTTGGGCCGGCGCCGCGGCTCACTAGGCTAATCCTCCGCCTAGCGGCGCCGGCACACCGGGTTCTAGTCCCGGTCGGGGCGCCGGATTCTGTCCCGGTTGCCCCTCTTCCAGGCCAGCTCTCTGCTGTGGCCCGGGAGTGCAGTGGAGGATGGCCCAAAGTGCTTGGGCCCTGCACCCACATGGGAGACCAGGAGAGGCACCTGGCTCCTGCCATCGGATCAGCGCGGTGCGCCGGCTGTAGCGAGCTGGCTGCTGCGGCCATTGGAGGGTGAACCAACAGCAAAGGAAGACCTTTCTCTCTGTCTCTCTCTCTCACTGTCCACTTTGCCTGTCAAAAAAAAAAAAAAAAAGGAAAATAACTCATTTGGGTTAGGCAGTAAGTAGCAGAGCAGGGATTTTTCAAAAATTCATACTGTTAACTACAGTTCCCCTCCAAATTAAACATTATTTTAGTATGTAGTATATTCTTGACACATGTTCTCAGTGCTTTAAACACATTTGTCATTTAATTCTCTCTCTCTTTTTTTAAAGATTTATTTATTTATTTAAAAGGCAGAGTTAGAGAGAGAGACAGAGACCGAGAGACCGAGACCGATCTTCCATCCACTGGCTCACTCCCCAAATGGCCAGGGCTGGGCCAGACCAAAGCTGGGAGCCAGGAGATTCCTCCAGGTCTCCCATATGGGTGAGTACAGGAGCCCAAACACTTGGGGCATATTCTGCTGCTTTCCCAGGCACATTAGCAGAGAGCTGGATTGAAAGTAAAACAGCGGAGTTGAACTGGATCCCATATGGGATGCCGGCATGGCAGACAGCCTCTTAACTTGCTATACTACAGCACTGGCTGGGTCATTTAATTCTTAAAATAACTCTGAGTTAGATAAGATTAGCCTGATGTTTTAAACAAGGAAATGGAATCCTAGTAAAGTTGAAGAACTTTCCTCAGGCCTTACAGCTCTTATGTGTTAGAACTGAAATTTGAGAGCAGACTTGTCTCATTCCAAAGCTTCTCCTCATACTTACTTATCAAACTACTAGAATATATTGCCTAATCAAAAAATTTTGAAGTTTCAGCGGTAGAGTGTAACTTTGTAAGTAAAACTGAAAAGCAGAAATCATGATACCGTATTGTTATTATCTACTAAGATAATTGAATACAAATCATCTTCTGTGATTCAGATTTCCCCCATGTTTATTTGAGTCCAGATGTGACAAAATTGAGAAACCTAAGCCTTATCTGTGGAGTAGTTTCTCAGCCTCTGCTCTATGGACCTTTTTAGCTAGGTAATTGTTGTAGGGTGTAATCCTGTACATTAACAGCCTTTAACCATGAGATGCTAGTGACAAACTTTCCTTACCTCAGATGTGACTACTAAAAATACCTTCAAACATTGACAGGTGTCCCTGGGGCAGGGTGATAGTGGTGGTGAAAAATCACTCCTGGCTGAGAGCCACTTTGTTCAAAGATGACCTTCAGGCATGGCAGCGGGATAGGGCTTCATAAGGATTTAGGGTCTAGTTTAACTTAGGCTGTGTTCTTTTCTCTAGCTTCAGTTCTCAGGCCTTTCACATTACCAGGGCCTGAAGGATCTCAGCAACTACATTGTTAAGTGAGTCCCACACATTTTATTTTTTTGAGGCCCATGAAAGCTTCTGATTCTTCCAGGTAAAAATTTCAGCCATACTCAAATGCTTTCCTTTTTTCTTTCTTTTTTTTTTTTTGACCAAAGAATATATATTTTTTAAAGATTTTTATTAATTTATTTGACAGGTAGAGTTACAGATGATTAGAGAGAGAGACAGAGAGAAAGGTCTTCCTTCCATTGGTTCACCCCCCAAATGGCCACAATGGCTGGAGCTATGCCAATCAGAAGCCAGGAACCAGGTGCCTCCTCCTAGTCTCCCATGCAGGTACAGGGGCCCAAGCACTTGGGCCATGCTCCACTGTCTTTCTGGGCCACAGCAGGGAGCTGGACTGGAAGAAGAGCGACCGGGACTAGAACCAAGTGCCCATATGGGATGCTGGCGCCTAAGCCGGAGGATTAACCCAGGATGTGCCACTGCACCAGCCCCCAAAGAATATATTTTTAAAAAATATTTATTATTTTATTTGAAAGGCAGATTACAGAGAGGTAGAGAGAGACACAGAGGCATGGCGGGGTGGGGGTGGGTGGTCTTCCATCTGCTGGTTCACTCCCCAAATGGCCATAATGGCCGGAGCTGGGCTGATCCAAAACCAGGAGCCAGGAGCTTCTTCCGGGTCTCCCATGTGGGTGCAGGGAAACAAACACTTGGGCCATCTTCCACTGCTTTCCCAGGCCATAACAGAGAGCTGGATTGAAAGTGGAGCAGCTGGGACACAAACTGGCACCATATGGGATGCTGGCACTGCAGGCAGTGGCTTTACCTGCTACACCACAGCCCCAGTCCCCAAAGAACATTTTTAACAACGAAAGTGCTTGGAAGATAAAATCTGAAAAAAGGTCTACTAAATTTTTACAAATCGAAGTAAGTTGGAGACATCCATGAGAAATCTTTCCAGGGCTAGCTGATTAGACAGTAACTCTGGGGGCAATCTGATGGGAGAAGCAATCTAATTCAGTCCATGGTTAAAACAAAACAAAAAAATTAAAGCAGATACACTTTACTGCACATGTGTGATTTTCCTTGAAATTTTTTTTAAAAAGGTTTACTTTATTTGAAAGACAGTTACAGAGAGAGGTAGAGAGAGAGAGAGAGAGAGAAAGAAAGAAAAGTCTTCTATCTGCTGGTTTACTTCCCAGATGGCTGCAGCATCAGAACTGAGCCAGTCCAAAGCCAGGAGCCAGGAGCTTCCTCCGAGTCTCCCACATGGGTGCAGGGACCCAAGGAATTGGGCCATCTGCTTTCTCAGGCTACAGCAGGGAGCAGAATTCGAAGTAGAACAACCAGAACTAGAACCAGTACCCATATAGCACACCAGTACTACAGGCCAGGGTTATTTATTTATTTATTTACTTACTGACAGGCAGAGTTAGAGAGAGAGAGAGACAGAGAGAAAGATCTTCCTTTTCCGTTGGTTCACCCCCCAAATGGCCACCATGGCCGGTGTGCTGCGGCTGGCGCACTGCGCCGATCCAAAGCCAGGAGCCAGGTGCTTTCTCCTGGTCTCCCATGCAGGTGCAGGGCCAGGGCCCAAGCACTTGGGCCATCCTCCACTGACAGGCCAGGGTTTTAACCTGCTGTGCCACAGCACTGGCCCCTTGAAATTTTTTTTTTAATTTATTTATTTTAAAGACAGAGTTGCAGAGAGAGGTAGAGACAGAGAGAGAGAGAGGTCTTCCATCCACTGGTTCACTCCCCAGATGGCTGCAATGGCCAGAGTTGTGCCGATCCAAAGCCAGGAGTTTCTTCTGGGTTTCCCATGTGGATGCAGGGGCCCAAGGACATGGGCCATCTTCTACTGCTTTCCCAGTCCATAGCAGAGACCTGGATCAGAAGAGGAGTGAACCGGCACCCACATGGGATGCCTGTGCCTCAGGCCAGGGCTTTAACCCACTGCGCCACAGCACCGGCCCCTTGAAATTCTTTTTTTAAAAAATTTTTATTTATGTGAGAGGCAGAGAGAGACACATAGACAGATAGAGCTCCCTTTCACTGATTCACTCCTCAAAGGCCAGCTACAGCTAGGGCTACTGCAGACTACAGCCAGGAGCCAGGAACTCAATCCATCTTTTCCATGTGGGTGGCAGGGACTCAAGTACTTGAGCCATCACCTGCTGCCTTTCAGGGTCTGTATTTGCAGGAAGCTGGAATCCAGAGCAGAGCCAGGACCCAAACCTAGGCACTACGATTTAGCCAAAAATTTCTTATCCACTATGTCAAAAATCTTTCCCCACAAATTCTTTGTAATTTGATTTCACTTAAGAAGAAATGCTGAAAAGCAGTATTTTAGAAGATCATTGATACGTGGATCTCTCTGCTTACTCGCATAGACCTGGACCTAGAACTTCCCTAGAGAAAACCTTTCACACAATGTATTTTTTTCCAGTCCTTTTGTTCTACTTTTGATTTATATTAAAGACAAGTGCAAATACATATATATGTGTGTTTTTTTTGAAAAAGAGTTTTTGCTTTCATGTTTAACACCATGAATTTCTTTCTTTTTTTCTTCCCTCCCCTCCCCTCCCCTTTCTTTCTCTCCCCTCCCCTCCCCTCCCCTCCCCTCCCCTCCCCTCCCCTCCCCTCCCCTTCCTTTCTCTCCCCTCCCCTCCTCTCCCCTTCTCTTCCCTTCCCTTCTTTCTTTTCTTTCTTTTTGTAAAGATTTTTTATTTAAGAGAGAGAGTAACAGACAGAGAAAGGGAGAGACACAGAGATGTCTTCCATCTACTGGTTCACTCCCCAGATGGTCACAGTGGCCAGAACTGGGCCAATCTGAAGCCAAGATCCAGGAGCTTCTTCCAAATCTCCCACGCAAGTGCAGGGGCCCAAGTACTTGGGCCATCTTCTACTGCTCTCCCAGCCCATAGCAGAGAGCTAGATCAGAAGAGGAGCAGCTGGAACATGAACCAGTGCCCATATGTGATGCTGACACCACAGGCAGAGGCTTAGCCTACTATGCCACAGGGCTGGTATAAGACCATGTTTTATACTTTTAAAATTTTCCTTATTACCAAGAACTCTATTGATTTATTTTCCTTAAAAGGTTGCACTATACTTTTTTTTTTAAGATTGATTTTATTCATTTTGGAAGTCAGAGTTACAGAGAGAGAGAAGAGAGATCTTCCATCTGCTGATTCACTCCCCAGATGGCTGCAATGGCCAGAGCTGGGACAGACCAAATCCAGGAAGTAGGAATTTCATCTGGATCTCCCACAAAGGTGGCAGGTACCCAGATACTTGGGCCATCCTCTACTGCTTTCCCAGGCCATAGCAGAGAGCTGGATCGGAAGTGGAGCAGCCAGGGCACAAACTAGAATCCATATGGGATTCTGGCATCACAGGTGGCAACTTTACCTGATACATCACAATGCTGACCCCTACTGTATGTTTCTTTGTGTTTCCTTCAGTATATGGTATGTTACATATAGGAAGGGAGAAATCTTTCATTATTTCCATAGTAGGTACTCAGTTAATTTTTTGTTGAGGTGATTGACTATGTCTCCTTTTATTAGAACCCATAATTTTCCATCATTAGTGCGAACAAATTTCTTTTATTCCTTTTCTCTAGCAAAGACTTATGATATCTTTTTTTTTTTTTAGATTCATTTTATTTATTTGAAAGACAGAGTTACAGAGAGAGAGAGAGAAAGAGAGAGGCCTTCTATCCACTGGTTTCACTCCCCAAATGACTGCAACAGCCAGAGTTGAGCTGATATGAAGCCAGGAGCCTGGAGCTTCTTCCCAGTCTTCCACATGGGTGCAGGGGCCCAAGGACTTGGGCCATCTTCTACTGCTTTCCCAGAGGGCTGGATTGGAAATGGAGCAGCTAGGATTTGTACTGGCACCCATATGGGATGCTGGCGCTGCAGGCTGAGGCTTTAACCCACTGTACCATTGCACCAGCCCCCTAATATCTTTTAATGTCTCTATACATAGGGCTATTTCCTGAAGTGATGAGCAGGGTTATAAATGCTGCGTGTCTGTATTTCTTCTCCAGCAATTATTTCAATTTCTTTTTTCTTTTTTAAAGATTTATTTATTTTATTTGAAAGAATTTCAGAGAGGCAGAGGCAGAGAGAAAAAGAGAGGGCTTCCATTTTCTAGTTCACTCCCCAAATGGCTCAATGGCTGGAGGTGAGCTGATCTGAAGTCACCTGAGCTTCTTCAGGGTCTCCCATGTGAGTGCAGGGGCCCAAGAACTTGGGCCATCTTCTACTGCTTTCCCAGGCCATAGCAGAGAGCTGGGTCAGAAGTGGAGCAGCTTGGACTTGAACTGGTGCTCATATGGGATGTTGGTAGTGCAGGCGGGGGCTTTACCTGTGACATCACAATGCTAGTCCCATTTATTTCCTTTTCAATTTAAATTTTTTAACTGTTAAATTAGAAACTTGTGGTATGTCACAGGCCAATAGAATCTGTGAATGTACCACCTAGCTCACAGGAATTTTTAGCAAACTTGCTAAGAACAAAGGCCATCTATGGTTAAAATAATGATTTATAATATTTATTAAATACTTCATACTTTTTGTTTGTTTGTTTTTGACAGGCAGAGTGGACAGTGAGAGAGAGAGACAGAGAGAAAGGTCTTCCTTTGCCGTTGGTTCACCCTCCAATGGCCGCTGCGGCCAGCGCGCTGCAGCCGGCGCGGCCAGCGCGCTGCAGCCGGCGCACCGCGCTGATCCGATGGCAGGAGCCAGGTGCTTCTCCTGGTCTCCCATGGGGTGCAGGGCCCAAGCACTTGGGCCATCCTCCACTGCACTCCCTGGCCACAGCAGAGAGCTGGCCTGGAAGAGGGGCAACCGGGACAGAATCCGGCGCCCCGACCGGGACTAGAACCCGGTGTGCCGGCGCCGCAAGGGGGAGGATTAGCCTAGTGAGCCGCAGCACTGGCCTAAAGTGTATCTTTTATACATTATTTTACTTATGTTTCTATCAGTCATGGCAACTTGACCATCCAGCCCTATTAGCAAGTATTAGGATCTTAACTTTCCCTTCATTTGAGGGAAAGCTATGACAAAAATTCTCTTTTATATATGTGAGGAGATTAGTATCTGGAAAAGACTAACTTTTTAAATATTTTTATTGTGATATATATTTGACATGAACTAAATACATGAAACATGTATATACTGGCTAAGGAATGAGTATAAATGGGGTCTAGGCAAAGCAGCAGAAGATAACCAAGTGTTTGAACCCCTGCCACTCATGTGGGAATCCTAGATGAAGCTCCTGACTCCTGGCTTCAGCCTGGCTCAACGCTGGCCATTGTAGCCATCTGGGGAGTGAACTAGGGGATGGAAGACCTGTTTTTCTCTCTGGCTTTTCCCCTTTTTTTTATGTAATTCTGCCTGAAAAAATAAATAACTTTTTTAAATAAATGTTTATGGGAAGTAAAATTAAAATACTTGTTTATTTTTTAAAAAGAAGGAATATAAACATATGTTTGTGATGAGAAACAGAACATTCCTTGTGCCCCAGACACACCTGCTGTGGTCCTTGCCTATCACACATAGCTTTCCCCTCACTGCTAGAGGTGACCACCATCCAGTTTCTTTCATAATAATTTCTTTGCTTTTTTGTAGAGTTTACTGGTAATATATTATATTTCTAGATAATTTAGTATTGCTTTTTTAAAGTTGATATATATTATAAAATTTTATATATTATATATTTATAATATATAACATATATTATATAATATTATATATAAATTTATTTATATATAAAAATAAATAATATATTATATATATTATTTATATATTATAAAATACTGTGCATTATTTTGTAAGTTACTCTACAGTATTATTTATCAGATTTATTTATGTTATGTATATAGCTGTTCATTTCATTTTCTTTAATGTTTAGAATTCTGTAGTATGAACATACTACAAGTTGTTTACCTATGTATGCTATTTGTAAGCATTGTTGTACCTGCCTTTTAATGCACACATTTATCTACAGTGTTTGCTTAATATAGAATTGTCCTAAGATTGTACGTCTCCTAGATTAATGCCACTCTCTTTTCCAAATGGTTATGTCAGCAGTATATAAAAGGCCTTGCTGCCTCTTGTTCCCATTAATACTTGATATTCTCAGTCTTTTGGACCAAGCTGAAACCAGAAGCCAGGAACTCAATCTAGGTGTCCTATTTGGGTGGCAGGGACCCCTCTCCACTCCCAAGTGCTGAGCTGTCACCTTCTGCCTTGCAGGGCGCACATTAGCAGGAAACTGGAATCAGAAGCTGAGCTAAGACTTGAATGTAGGAGTCTTAATCATAGTGCCAAGTGCCTGTCTCTGATTTTGATTTTCTTGATTACTGATGAGATCAGGCATATATTCATATGCATATGACCACTTGGATTTCTTTTTTTTGTCCCATTAAATCCTAAATTTTCAATTCTGAAAATATTTCAGTGACATTAATATTTATTTCAGAGTTACCATAACTGGTATATTTATTGCTCAGTTTAAGTCTTTATTATTATTATTATTTATTTATTTGAAAGAGTTACACAGAAAGAGAAGGAGAGGCAAAGAGAGAGAGAGGTCTTCCATCCACTGGTTCACTCCCAAGTGGCTGCAACAGCTAGAACTGTGCCAATCTGAAGCCAGGAGCCAGAAGCTGCTTCTGGGTCTCCCATGCAGGTGCAGGGGCCCAAGAACTTGGGCCCTCTTCTGCTTTCCCAGGCCGTAGCAGAGAGCTGGATCAGAAGTGGAGAGCTGGGCCTCAAATCGGTGCCTGTATGAGATGCCAGCACTGCAGGCAGTGACTTTACCCACTACACCACAGTGCTGGCCCCTCAGTTTACCTGCTACGCCACTGTACCGGCCCCTGGATATTTTGTATTTCTATGTCAGATTCAGAATTGGTTTGTCGTGTTTCACAGGAAAATCAGTTGAGATTTAAGATTATATTTAATTTGTACAGCATTTAGAGAGAGTTAGCATTTTTGTAATATGGCATCTTACAATTTCTTCAATTTAGATATTGTTCTTTGCCTCTCAACAAGCATAATTTTTCCATATAAGAACCAAAAATATATTTTCTAAAAGATTTATTTATTTGAAAGTTGGAGTTACAAAAAGAGATGATATAGAGATCATCCACCTGCTAGTTCATTACCTGTATTGTCCCAAAGGCCAGGGCTGGATCAGACCAAAGCCAGGAGCCAGGAGCTTCTTCCAGGTCTCCCGTGTAGGTAGCAGGGTCCCCAAACACTTAGACCATCTTTTGCTTTCCCAGGTACATTAGCAGGGAGCTAGATCTGAAGTGGAGCAGCTGGGACTTAAACCAGTTCTCATATGGGATATGGCAGCAGCTTTACCCATTACACTACAAAGCCGGTCCCCAAAAATATTTTAAATATTTATTTATTTTTACCTGAATGAGTATTCTTTTTATTAAACATTTTGTTTCAAATTTATATTTAAATTTATAAAACAAAATTATGAGATAGTAATACATACTTTAAAGGCAAAACGAGACAGAGATCTTCCTTCTTCTGATTCATTCCCCCAAGATGCCTGCAACAGCCAGGGCTGAGCCATGCTGAAACCAGGAGTCCAGAACTCAGTCTGGTTCTTCCATGTGGGTGGAAGGGACCCAACTGTTTGAGAAATGAGCATGAAGCTAGGATATTAAGTGGAGCCAGTTCTTAAACCCAGGCACTCAGATAATGAATACAGGCATTCTACTCATGCCAAACGCCTGCCTCCAAAACTGTTTTTTAGACAAGTGGAAATAGGCCAAGATCAAAAAGACATTAGAAAATAATAAGAGGACAAATTTTTATTTTTAATTTTTTTTTGACAGGCAGAGTGGACAGTGAGAGAAAGAGACAGAGAGAAAGGTCTTCCTTTTTTGCCGTTGGTCCACCCTCCAATGGCCGCCACGGCTGGCGAATCGCGCTGATCCGAAGCCAGGAGCCAGGGGTGCTTCTCCTGGTCTCCCATGCGGGTGCAGGGCCCAAGGACTTGGGACATCCTCCACTGCACTCCTGGGCCATAGCAGAGGGCTGGCCTGGAAAAGGGGCAACCGGGACAGAATCCAGCACCCCGACCGGGACTAGAACCCGGTGTGCCGGCGCTGCAGGCGGAGGATTAGCCTATTGAGCCGTGGCGCTGGCCATAAAAGGACAAATTTTACAGTGTTGTCAGAAATTGAAAGACAACATACGTAATTCATCTTGATGTTTTTCCCTATTCTGACTTTTCATTGCTGTGAATATCTATTAAGTCCCCTAAATGCTTAGCTGATGATCTCATTTTCTGTTTTTAGGAGATATTTTCTGTGTAGTTAGAACATTCTCAATTGTTCATTTGTGATGTGTCTCCATAAAATTTCTCATATTTCCTTCCTTTCTTTGACCCTGTGTCCGAGAAAAGAGAATTCTTTTTTTTTTTTAAGATTTATTTATTTACTTGAAAGAGTTACACAGAGAGAGTAGGAGAGGCAGAGAGAGAGAGAGAGAGAGAGAGAGAGAGAGAGAGAGAGGTCTTCTATCTACTGGTTCACTCCCCAGTTGGCTGCAATGGCCGGAGCTGTGCCGATCTGAAGCCAGAGCCTCCTCTGGGTCTCCTGTGTGGGTGCAGGAGCCCAAGGACTTGGGCCATCTTCTGCTTTCCTGGGCCATAGCAGAGAGATGGATTGGAAGTGGAGCAGCCGGGTCTAGAACCGGCTCGCATATGGGATGCCGGCACTTCAGGCCACGGCTTTACCCACTACGTCACCGTGCCGGCCCCGAAAAGAGAATTGTTGTAAGAAGGTCCAATGCTAATCTGTCCATGCATACCCTGATTCCAAAACAGTTGGAATACCTGTGATTGCAGATAATTTCCTTCTGGAGTCTTCCTTTACATTCCTCACAGTTGAGCAAAGGCAGAGCCCTCCTAAAAATAACGCCAAGTTTTCCACTAGAAACATCAATCATAAAAATAACTGTTATAGTTTCCTTTCCATGTTACTTATGAAATGAGCATTTTGCTGCTTTGACAGAAAAGACCACTCTTTTATCTGAGCTTCTCTGACTTGCTCCTGGGAATTTGCTGGCTCACTGAGGCACTTCTCTATGGAACTCCAGTGGACAATAAAGATGTCATCTGCTACAATCTGCAAGCAGTTGGACAGGTAAGTGCTACTAGACTGACTATGCTTTGCAATAAAAAGACACTCAGATCTAAATAAGAAGCAGAGATGATCCATTCTGAGAAGTGGAGACCCATTTGTTACATTTTAAAGAACAATACAAGTGAATCATAATTAATCAAAAAATCTGAAATCTGAAATGATTAAAAATCTGAAATTTGGTGGAAAATGCCACATCCAACCCCTTAAGACAGGGTCACAGTCAAAACGTAGGCCCACCAAAAATATTCTGTAAAATTACCTTCAGGCTTTGTATATAAAAGGATATGTAAAACATAAATGAATTTTGTGCTTAGATACAGGTCCCTTCCTAATAGCTTATGAATTATATGCAAATATTCCAAAATTTGAAAACCTCTGAACTCGAAAATACTTTTGAACCCAAGCATTTCAGATAAGTAATACTCACCCTATAACATGTAATTAGTAGTTAAAATCCATGCACTAATATATTACCTATTATGAGTTTTTTAAAAGATTTATTTATTTATTTGAAAGTCAGAATTACACAGAGAGAGGAGAGGCAGAGAGAGGTCTTCTATCTGATGGTTCACTCCCCAACTGGCTGCAACAGCTGGAGCTGCGCTGATCTGAAGCCAGGAGCCTGGAGCTTCTTCCAGGTCTCCCACATGGGTGCAGGGGCCCAAGGACCTGAGCCATCTTCTGCTGCTTTCCCAGGCCATAGCAGAGAGCTGGATCAGAAGTGGAGCAGCTGAGTGTTGAATGGGCACCCCTATGGGATGCTGGTGCTTCAGGCCAGGGTGTTAACCTGCTGCGCCACAGTACTGGCCCCTATTATGAGTTTAAAATGTCATAGAGTTGGCCAGTGTAGTGGCATAGTGGGTAAAGCCATCACCAGCATAGCCAACATCCCATATGGGCGCTGGTTTGTGTCCCAGCTGTTCTACTTCCTAACTAGCTCCCTGCTTGTGTGTCTAAGAAAAAAACTGGAAGACGGGGTCAGATGCTTGGGCCCCTGCTACCCATGTGGGAGACCCAGATGAAGCTCCTGGCTCAGCCCTGGCTGTTGTGACCATCTGAGGAGTGGACCAGTGGATGGAAGATCTCTCTATCTCCCCGTTTGTGTCCTTAGTTCTGACTTTCAAATAAATACATAAATCTTTAAAAAAGTTAGAGACATACTTTGCTCAGTCCTACTAAAATTTTTTGTTGGATAGTTCTACTACCTTGTCCATTTCTAGACTGTAGTATGTTGATTTTCGTCTCATGAGAATGAGTCATATTTTCTTGTTCATTATATGTCAAGTAACTTAGGATTCCATGGTAGACATTGTGAATACTGTGTTGATAATCTCTGGGTCGTTTTATAGCTCTCTGGAGATAACTAATGTTTTTAACAGCACTCCTGTTAAGGATTAGAATATAAATTTTGTTTTCATCATCTGTGGGCAGTGGCTCAGACCTCAGTTTAGTTTTCTAAACCTTGGCTGTACTGATTTGGGACTGTCATTCATAGGATAGAGGGAATTGACTGAGACTTGTATAGATTCATACATCTAATTAAGATATCCTCTTTTTCTACCACTCTCACTTTGGGGAATCTCTGCATACTTTCCTGCCCATAAAGGGCTACTTTCTGGTTTTCATGGCCTGAAAATAGATTTCTTTTAGTCTTTTTTTTTTTTTTTTTTTTGACAGGCAGAGTGGACAGTGAGAGAGAGAGAGAGAGAGAAAGGTCTTCCTTTGCTGTTGGTTCACCCTCTAATGGCCGCCGCGGCCAGCGCGCTGCGGCCGGCACACCGCGCTGATCCGATGGCAGGAGCCAGGAGCCAGGTGCTTTTCCTGGTCTCCCATGGGGTGCAGGGCCCAAGCACTTGGGCCATCCTCCACTGCACTCCCGGGCCATAGCAGAGAGCTGGCCTGGAAGAGGGGCAACCGGGACAGAATCCGGCGCCCCGACCGGGACTAGAACCCGGTGTGCCGGCGCCGCTAGGCGGAGGATTAGCCTAGTGAGCCGCGGCGCCGGCTCTTTTAGTCTTTTGTTTGTTTTTGTTTTGACAGGCAGAGTTAGAGAGAGAGAGAGACAGAGAGAGAAACAGAGAGAAAGGTCTTCCTTCCGTTGGTTCACCCCCCAAATGGCTGCTACGGCCAGTGCTGTGCAGATCCGAAGCCAGGAGCCAGGTGCTTCCTCCTGGTTTCCCATGGGGTGCAGGGCCCAAGCACTTGGACCATCCTCCACTGCCTTCCTGGGCCACAGCAGAGAGCTGGCCTGGAAGAGGAGCCACTGGGACAGAATCCAGTGCCCTGACCAGGACTAGAACCGGGGATGCTGACGCCGCAGGCAGAGGATTAGCCAAGTGAGCTGTGGTGCTGGCCTCTTTTAGAGTCGTAGATGCCTTCATTCAGTAGCATCATGACTGGAGTAAACACTTGAGGCAAAGCTGCAGGAAAGGGGGGGAGTTAGGGAAACTTGCCCGTATGTAGTGTGATTCTCTTCTGCAATCTACTTTTGTTTAATTTTCATAGTCCTGCTGTAGTTTATAAAAGTATTTTTCCAGGGCCAGAGCTGTGGTGAAGTGTAAGGTTAAGCCACCGCCACAGTGCTGGCATCCCATGTGGGGTGCCAGTTCGAGTACCTGCTGCTCTCCACTTTTTTTTTTTTTTTTTTAATTTGGAAGTCAGAGTTACACAGAGAGAGGAGGAGAGGCAGAAAGAGAGAGAGGTTTTTTTTGTTTGTTTTGTTTGTTTTTGTTTTTTGTTTTTTGTTTTTTGTTTTTGTTTTTTTTTTTTGACAGGCAGAGTGGACAGTGAGAGAGAGACAGAGAGAAAGGTCTTCCTTTGCCGTTGGTTCACCCTCCAGTGGCCGCCGCGGCTGGCATACCGCACTGATCGGAAGCCAGGAGCCAGGTCCTGGTCTCCCATGGGGTGCAGGGCCCAAGCACTTGGGCCATCCTCCACTGCACTCCCGGGCCATAGCAGAGAACTGGCCTGGAAGAGGGGCAACTGGGACAGAATCCGGCACCCCGATTGGGACTAGAACCCAGTGTGCCGGTGCCGCTAGGCGGAGGATTAGCCTGTTGAGCCGCGGCGCCAGCCGAGAGAGAGTTCTTCCATCTGCTGGTTCACTCCCCAACTGACTGCAATGGCCTGAGCTACACTGATCCAAAGCAGGAGCCAGGAGCCTCCCTCGGGTCTCCCTTGCAGGTGCAGGGGCCCAATGACCTGAGCCGTCCTCTACTGTTTTCCCAAGCCACTGCAGAGGGCTGAATCAGAAGTGAAGCAGCCAAGACCCAAACCAGTACTCACATGGGATGCTGGCACTGTAGGCAGCAGCCCTATCTGCTAAGCCAGAGGGCTGGCCCTGCTGCTCCACTTCTGATCCAGCTCCCTGCTGGTGGCCTGGGAGGGCAGTGGAGGATGGCCCTGTCCTTGGGCCCCTGCACCCACGTAGGAGACTCGGATGAAGCTCTTGGCTTCTGGCTTCAGCCTGGCCCAGCCCTGGCTGTTGTAGCCATTTGGGGAGTGAACCAGTGGATGAAAGTTCTCTCTCCTCCCTCCCTCCCTCCCTCTCTCTCCCTCCCTCCCTCTCTCTCCCTCTCTCTCTCTCTGTCTCTCCTCTCTTTCTCTGTGTAACTCTGACTTTCCAATAAATAAATCAGTTTTGTGGGGGGAGGGTTGGAGACCTTTTTAATGTGGACATTCAAGGCCCGAGCGGGCATGCAGGAAGGTGGGTTGTAGTAGGCCCCTGCCAGGTCCCAGGAAGGCATGCTGGGCAGTGGAGTGAGGTCCAAGTAGGCAGACTCACCTGGGGCCCAAAGGCCAGCCCTTGAGAGGGTATTTGAGGTAGGTGATGAGTGCTGAGGCCAGAGCCTGGCCGGGGAGGTGGGGTTGGCAGCCAGGGACCTAGGGGCTGGCATCACCCAGAGCCTCCCCTAGCTGCTGCTGGAATTCCAGGCAGCTCGTGCAGGCAGTCATGGGGGCAGTTGTTCTCCAGATGGTCCAGAGCAGAGTCGATCTGGTCCAACGTGGCATTGATAGCAGTGTATTTTGCTTCCCCAAAGCCGTCATCCTTGCCTTCCACACCCACCTCCACTGGCACGCCCAGGTCCCCGTTGGGGCCTGACATTGTGGGCTCAGGAGGATAGAATGCCGCGATAGTAGCACCCAAAGCTGGCGCGGGGAGGAAGGTGGAAAAATAAATCTTTTTTAAAAAATATTTTAAAAATATTTCCCCTAGAGTTCTTGTTTATGATCAAAGGAAAGATGGACTGGAGAGGGTTTACATACATGAGCTTATTCTGTTTGTTCATTTGTTTATTTTTAAAAATTTGGCAAAATATATATAACCTAAAATTAACCATTTTACCCATTAAGTGTTTTAAAATTATGGGTAAAAAGTAACAGACTATATAATTATAACATTTTATTTATCTTAAAATTTTATTTGAAATGCCAAGAGATCTTCTATCCATTGGTTCACTTCCCAAAATGCCTGGAACAGCCAGGGTTGGGCCATGCCTAAGCCCAGGACTCAATCCAGATCTTCCAAGTGGGTGATAGGGACCCAACTACTTGAGCCATAATTTGCTAACACCTAGGGTGTACATTAGCAGGAAGCTGGGTGAGAAGCAGAGCCAAGACTCAAACCTAGAACTCTTATAGGGGATGTGGGTGTTCCAAGCAGTGACCTAACCTCTGTGGCAAATTTTAAAAAATTTTTTTATTGACAGGCAGAGACATACTCACTCAGACACCATAAACACACACACACACACACACACACACACACACAGAGAATAAATGAACAAACTCCCATCTGCTGATTTACTCCCAAAATGCTTGAGATAGCCAGGCTGGATCAGGCAAAAGCAAGAGCCTGGAATTCACTCCAGGTCTCCCTTATGGGTGACAGGAACTCAGTTATTTGAGCTATCACCTGTTCTCTCTGAGGAAGATGGAGTAACACTGGGACTTAAACACAGTGACTCTGGTATGGAATGTGGCATTTCACCTTAACCTCT